GGACCTGATAGACGACCGTGGGGCTCCAAGCCGCAGCAGCGCCACGGCGCGGGCATGCCGCACTGAGCCTCTGGGAACCAACCTCCAAGACGTCAAGGCCCGGAGGCGGCCCAATCTGCCTGACCGGAGGCCCAGGAGGCAGCGGGTCCAAGCCTGGAGGTGCGCGAATGCATCCGCCCCCGGCGGTCCGAGCAGCATCGTCGGCAGAAGTGGCCGCGGCGATGCCTCCAGCCGAAGGCCAGGAAACCGAGGCGGCGGCAGAGCCCGCGTGCCCCGCGAGTGACGCTCCCCCGCCCACGGTGGAGCAGGCGGGGCCCACAAAGTGGTCGCCATGCTTAGCGGCACAGGTGAGCCAGGTGGCGAAGTAGAGGCAAGGAGAAGGAGTTGGGGGGAGGTAAGAGAGATCCTCGTCCACCACTTCCCTTCCCAAGAGCGCAGTTATCTTCGCAGGGCACCCCTCTGGTGCTTCGGCGTTGAACACGCTGGCCTTGGGTTCGCTGGCAGCAGGAATGGCGGGCATGGCTTGCGCGGCGGCTGAAGCCCTTGGGCGGCGCGTCGGAGCGCCTTTGGCCACCGTGCCCTCCGTCGGGCGTCTCTGTCGCGGCGGCTGAAAGTCTTGCGTAGAAGCGGCGGCTGAGACCCCAGGCGCGGCGGCACATTGAACGCCCGAGACGAGGGCTGGCGCTGCGCCACGACGCAAGGCGTGGCGCTGCGGCGTGTGAGGCCCCCCTCCTACTCCTCTCCTCAGATGGGCCTCCTGCTCCGCCGCCCCAAAGGCCAAGGGGGAGAAGGCGAAGGAGGAGGGAGAGGAGTTTTGCGCCGAAGTCGGCGTGGAGAGCGCCGAAGACCACCAGACTGGTGCAGGCTGGAGAGACCTGCCAACGGCAGGACGTGGCATGGGCCCTGTCCGCACCGCCCGCCGAAGAGCGAGCGGCGACGGTGCTAGCAAGGCCCGGTGGCCACGGCAGGCAGGGTGCCGAAAGGCGCGCCTGCCCGACCGACCACCGCTCAGAACGGACGGTCGGCCCCGACGCTCGCTCTCGTCGTACGGGCCACAGGCGCCGGCCCGACCGACTTGGGCCAGCGCGGGGTGGCGAACCCGGAGCCGACGATCGCCGCGTAGGTGTCGAGGAAACCTGAACGGCGATGGCCCCGCGGGCCCCTGGCGCCCCGGCCGCGCGCGCGCGGGGAGGGGAGTGGGGGGCGAGCGGGGCAGCTATCAGGCCGAGAAGCTGCAGACGACTGCGTAGCGGGCGCGAATGGGGATAGAGAGGTGCAGGAGGAGGACAAGGATTAGGAGGAGGCAGGAGCACATAAAAGTTGAGAAGGGGAAGGAGAAGGAAGAGGAAGGAAAGGCAGGGGTAATTAAAGCAAACATATACAACGATGCTGCAATACACCCTCCGATCCTGAGTCCCCTCCCCAGAAATCCTTGTAAACATGATGTCCCATTTCGTAAAGCGCTTCCCTGGAATCGAATTGCAAAGTCCCGTGGGCCCACAATTCAGGCGGGAGCTCCGTTTTGAAATCGCACCTGCCTCCATCCTGCGAGTGATGAGAACTTTTATGTTTCATCAAACATGCGGCAGGGTGGGAACGTCAGAACCCGCCCTCCGCCTGGGAAACTGGCGCACGATGTTGAGCTCTTCCCCACAAGATGCAGGGGAGTCTGATTCGAGAGCCCCGTTCTGAAAGGGAGTCGCCCTCCACCGAAGGTGACTGCTGCACTGCTGTGTGGTGCAAGGCGGGGATTCATCCATGTCCACCGCCCGGGAACCGGCGCCATGGTGCCCTGGCGGGCGGTGGATATGGACATCTTCCGGCCCCCGGGGGCCCGAGCAGGTCCACATCCACCGCCTGCCGAGGCTCCGCAAACTGACCCTCCAGGCGGTGGTCCTGTACTCCAGATGTCGTAATAAAACGAAGGGGTCTGGACCCTCCAAGACATAGGGGGCAAACAAACCTACCTCGCTTTTGACCACCCTCGCTTCCAAGAGATACCAAACGATGCCAAAATACGGCGTGTACTGGTCAGGCCGCTTGACGAGGAGGCGTATGGTATGACTTGGTTTTGCCTGGAAACGAAAGCGGGGTAGGTAATTCACGATCTGAAGACAAGCCATTTCAGACCTCCCCCGTGGGAGAACCCTCCAAAAACATCGTCCCCAGACCCCCCAGGCCCTCCAAGATGGCCTGGAAGAGACCCCCCCCCCGAAATGAGACCCCCCTCCCTTTTATTACGAAATCTGGAGCATGAGTGCCCGCCTCGGGTGTGCCTCGACGACCTTTCGGGGGGGGCTCTCGGTTGAGGGCCCCCCCCTCTCGACAGGGAGCCGCCACTCGAGCCGCGCAGCTGCCGGAGAAGAGGTACTGACGACGGGCGTGCGCGGCGACGGCCCGAGAGCCCTGCTGTCAACTCGCCCTGCTTGCTCGGCTCCTGCTGCCCAGGTTCGCGGCGCCAGGGCGAGAACTACGCTGCCTTAACGGGCGAAGAACGGTATAAGATAAATTTTTCCGCCGTCGGGGACACCTGCCCCTGGGCGGCTGGAAAGTTTATACCCTTCCGGTGGCACCGTAGGGGTATAAACTTCCCAGCCGCCCAGGGGCAGGTGTCCCCGACGGCGGAAAGTTTATGTTATACCGTTCTTCGCTCGCCGAGTTGCTCCCATCGCGCTTGAGGACCACATCCCAGAAATAACTTGGAGCACCCAATGGAAGTGTCAAAACGGTATCGAACAAGTATCGCCTCCCAGGGACCGACACGTGAAAACGCTCCAGATTCGGCATTTTCCTGGTGCTCGAAATTATGTCTGGTGATCGAGGCTAAAGTAGGTTGGAACATCATGAGGCGAGAATCCCATTCTGAAGACCACCCGACCCCATAGAAGAAGAAGAAGAAGAAAGAAGTGCACAAGCAGAAACTCTGGGCGTTCCGCGCGGATGTCTTGGATCTGCGCCGGACCCCCGTCCGTGGCACGCGGAGCGCGCCAGGGGCGGCGCCGGAGGCGCCGCCGGGGGCCCAGCGCGGATCCAAGAGATCCGCGCGGAGCGCCAGAAGTTTATGTTCATGGCAAGGTTTCTTCGTCGACTCCACGTGTGAGGCTGCTGGAAAAACTCTGACGGCGGCCGTGCGCGGCCCCGGAGAACCCACAGCCGCAGTGTGAGAACGATCCGCCCTGCATCGGCGCAATTTCAGGTCGGGCGTGTCCTCCTACTAGCGGCTTCTGGGCGAAAACTAACAAATTGTGAAACCTACAGGCGGGTTTTGGACGATTGATTTTTGTTATATAATTAAAAGAATAATAAGAATAATAATGCGTATAATAAAACTAAAAAAAATGAGAATACTAGTATATATAAAACTGATAACAAAAGTAGTAGAAGAAGTAGTAGTAGAAGAAGTAGTAGAAGTAGTAGAAGTCGTAGTAGTAGTAGTAGTAGTAGTAGTAGTAGTAGTAGTAGTAGTAGTAGTAGTAGTCGTCATAATAGTAGTAGTAGTAGTAGTAGTAGTAGTAGTAGTAGTAATAGTAATAGTAGTAGTAGTAGTAGTAGTAGTAGTAGTAGTAGTAGTAGTAGTAGTAGTAGTAGTAGTAGTAGTAGTATCGACGGACTCCCCTGGGTAGTGCTCTTGGGCGTTTTTTGGCGCGATAGAGGAGTTGGCGGAGACAGGCGGGCTTTGTCTGAGAGCGGCCACCGCCTCTCCCTTTGTGAACCTGCGCCAGGCCTCATCCTCCACCGAAGGGGCCGCCGTCTGTAGTTCAGGCCGCACAACGGCGCGTTGGCGGGTCAGCGAGTGCGCAGGGCGACGGGACACGCCCCGACGATCTCGAGCCTGAACGCCCGCGGCGGCGACTCGACATCGGGTCGGCCCCTGAGACTGCACCGATCTTACATGGGGGCAACAGACGCAGGTACGACAAGGGCGCCCTTGCGATGGCGGGGGGGGCTGAGCGACTATCCCTGATTGATAATGACGATGTTATCTTTCTTGATTTTCAAGGTGGCCTCGCTGAGTTCGATTGTGCCTGCAATCGTGGCAAGAGAGACCGCTGCTGGCAGCGCGGCGCGCTGGCCGCCTGGCTGAAGCAAAGATGCGTTAATTGTTTGTTCTCCAGGGCCCGCGAATTACCACGAAGCACGGCGCGTCGGTGACGGTGGTAGTGTACATCGCCGATGACTGGAAACAAACACACACTTCGGGGTGGCGGGCGTGCAGCGGTGGGGCGGTGAGAGAGAGCTCGTGGGCAGGTGAGGTGTGAGAAGGAGCAATGGGGGAGAAAGTAAACGGCCTCGCTGACGCTGCTCCGACCTCAGAGGGGCGCGCTCGGGGGGGGGCGCCCCAGGAGCAGCCCGACGCTCCAGCATGTAGTACACCAGGTTCACCACGCGTCCCCGTTCATCCTGGCGCGCATTACCGTCAGCCCGAGCTCACTGAAGAGGCACGCCTGGCCCCCGCGGCGGTACCTCCAAGCCCGCTCGTGAGCCCATTTCTCCAACGCCCCAGTGGAGAGGCTGTCGATCGCGCGGAGCTGCGTCGGGATCCTGCGCTCGAGGTGCTTCCACAAACCATCCTGGAGCCCCGTGCCCCCGTAGCACGCGAGCACGCTGCCATCGGAGAGGGCCAACTTGCAGATCTTCACCCACTGCTTACGGCAATGCTTGACCCTGGTGTTGAGCGGCAGCCTCCTGTAACACCGGGCACCATCAGAGTGCCAGATGACCGCGTTGCCGCCGGCAGTGCGTTTGATCATGAGGTCCTCCGTCTCGGCGATGCTCTCGGGCCTGGACTTCCCCCCCTTTTGGCGTGGTGTACAAAGGGAGCGGGCATATCACCGTGGACTTTCGATCTCCGCGGCGGGACATGCCGAAGTAGCGGACATGGAGCAGCCGGCCATTGTTGAGCGCCATGGTGCGCAGAGTCGTAGCATCCACCTCGGAGGAGCAAGAGGAAGGGAGAGGGCTGGGTTCGGATAAAAGGGAAAAGGTATGTGGGAGGAGACCTCGCGTTGCCCAGAGAACGCGACATCGCGCTGCTCCATCTTACTGCCGATAGCAATGACGTCGCGCAAGGCGTCAAAGACCTCCTTGCAAGTCCTGTGCGCCACTCCTGTCAGCTGCGCTGCGTCATCCTCATGCATCTGACATGTCAATTGCCCGCTTGCGAGCCACGCCAAGGCGGCGAGCTTCTTCATTGGGATCTCGTGGTCTGCCCAAGTCCCAGATGTTGCCCTGTTAAACTCGCGGCAACCGCGCCTGTAGCACTGCACCCCAGGGCGACGTTCGCCGCGGAAGTACGTCTTACCCAAGGGCCACTGGCAGCCTGCGCATTCCGTGTTGTGGAGGTCCTGGAGGAAACCGAGCTTCACGAGCATCCAGTAAGCGGCCGCGTCGCCCATGGCAAGTATCTCGTCGAACGTCCACCGCTCCGCCTTGGCAACCCGCCCCCGACGCACCGTATCAGCGCCTTTCTGCTCGGTCGGAGTGTAGAAAACGCCGGTGCGCTCCAGGGCCGCCCTCTCTCGCTTCCACGCTGCCCTCGCCTTGCGGGCCATCGCCAAACTCTTCTTTGACCGCTCCTGCGAACTCCGCTTGTTCCGCTTCTTCTGGCTGAACTTACGGAACTTGGTCTTGACGGGAATGTTCGGAGTCGCTGCGGCGGGCCGGCGGATCGCGGCAGCGGCGGGCTTGCGCTTCGGAGTGCCGTGTGTGCCCACTGCAGCGCCGCGAACCATCGCTCAGGAAGTGGACGCGCGCCAGCCTGAGTGCGCGGGGGGCAGGAACTCGATCCGAAACGGCAACTGGAGTGGCAGACATGGGCTACTCGGGGGCGCGTAGACGCCGCTGCGCACACGGCAGTCGAGCGCTGGAAAGGGCCAAGGGCGATCGCGGCATAATGGGACAGAATCTTTTTTTTCTAGCGGGCCCGACAGCTCGCGCATGATTGCAAGCACACGCACGGACGGCCAGGAGTAGGTGAGCGGGAGGAGGCGGGTGCAGGAGCGGGCACAACATTGCTGGTATCACGCGCGCAACTACTCCGAGAGCGGGGCGGCATCAGGAGACCGAGGCGTCAGAGTTGATCTTCGGCTCCGAGCGTCTCTGCAACGTCTTGCTCATCCCGTCGTCCGTGCTGGCCCCTCCAGCAAGCCCCTTGTTCGCTTTGTTTTCCTCGACCGTCTTGGTGCTGTTGGTAAACTTGTCCTTGAGGTCCTCGCCGCTGTAGTTCGGGCGAGCGGCCACCGCCTCTCCCTTTGCGAACCTGCGCCAGGCCTCATCCTCCACCGAAGGGGCCGCCATCGGTAGTTCAGGCCGCACAACGTCGCGTTGGCGGGTCAGCGAGTGCGCAGGGCGACGGGACACGTCCCGACGATCTCGAGCCTGAACGCCCGCGGCGGCGACTCGACATCGGGTCGGCCCCAGCAGGAGGGCCTCCAGCAGGAAGACGTGCGTCGGCTGCACCTGCACCTGCACCAGCAGGACGGCCTCCAGAAGGATGACGTGTGGCGGCCGCACCTGCACCAGCAAGAGGGCGTCCAGCAGGAAGATGCACGGCGGCTGCACCTGCACCAGAAGCCACGGGATCAGCTCCAGGACGGACGTCCCCGACAGCAGCTCGGATCTCCTCCGCCGTGTCGGGGCCCAGCTGGGCCAGCCAGGCCTCCCTCTCGTCCACCGTTTGTCTGCTAAGAACTCTGACGAGGGCCCCGCGCTGACCGCGGGTTCGCCGCCCCGCCACCTCATCAGCTGGTTGGCACAACAAGCACCGCGTGTGGAGTTCCTTCACCAAGGTGGCCGTCCCTGTTGTCCCCCACCGGCAGTCTGGATTGGCGCACTCATACACCATATCTGACCCGGTTGTCGCGTCGACAATACAAGGCCGAGCCCGCGCGATATGCCGGCTGAGCAGTAAAAGTGATAGCGATAGGAACACAGGCAGAAGGATTCGCCGGCACTCTGGACGCTGCTCTGCGCCCCAAAAAAAAACCCTTGGGACAAAATGGCTGCGGGAGGTGGAGGATGGTGTGGAGTATTCGGGGTCCCACACGCTGTCTACCCTGTTTTATCTGTCGGCAAGGACGCAAGGCCGCAGAGGACGGCTCTGGTGCCCTACGGTGCTGCACGTGGACCCGCAGAGGCAAGGATGTTTGAAGCCTTCGGGGCCCTTCCTCCTCCTCCTCCTCCTCCTCCTCCTCCTCCTCCTCCTCCTCCTCCTCCTCCTCCTCCTCCTCCTCTTTTTCCTTCTTCCCATGTAAGACCATCCGTCCCCAATCCCTGCACGAGTCACCGAACCCGTGCGCACCAGCATAGCAAATACAATCCGATTGCAATGTGACGCAATGCGATTGCAATGCAACCGATTGCACTGCAGAAGCGGCACATGCGATGACTTCGATTGCAATACAATGCAACGCAATCCGATTGCAATGCAATGAAATGCGATTGCAACGCAATGCGATTGGAATACAGTGAAATAGGGTCCAATAAGGCGGCTGTTGCAATGCGATTGCAACGCAGTGCATGCGACGTCTATGCATTGCGACTGAAAGGGGGGGACGGGAGGGAGGAGGGGGGAGGAGGGGGACGGGAAGGGGGAGGAATGGAGTGTGGTGTTGGGGGGGGGGGGGGGGGGGCGCCCCCCCCCCCCCCCAAAAAAACAAAAAAACTTCTTGAAATTCAACTTTTGTTTTTATTTATTTATTTGGCGCGCCCCCCCCCCCCCCGAACCATGACGAACACCCCACTACAATCACCGCCCCCCTGGCGGCGGAGCGGGTGTCCACGCGCGGGAGGGCAGAGAGAGGGAGAGTGAGAGACTGAGACAGAGAAAGAGGGAGAGATAGAGAGAGAGAGAGAGAGACACGCGCGCGCGTACTCTTGCCAAAAAACGCCCAAGAGCACTACCCAGGGGAGTCCGTTGCCTAGTAGTAGTAGTAGTAGTAGTAGTAGTAGTAGTAGTAGTAGTAGTAGTAGTAGTAGTAGTAGTAGTAGTAGTAGTAGTAGTAGTAGTAGTAGTAGTAGTAGTAGTAGTAGTAGTAGTAGTAGTAGTAGTAGGTAGTAGTAGTAGTAGTAGTAGTAGTAGTAGTAGTAGTAGTAGTAGTAGTAGAGTAGTAGTAGTAGTAGTAGTAGTAGTAGTAGTAGTAGTAGTAGTTAGTAGTAGTAGTAGTAGTAGTAGTAGTAGTAGTTGTAGTCGTAGTAGTAGTAGTAGTAGTAGTAGTAGTAGTAGTAGTAGTAGTAGTAGTAGTAGTAGTAGTAGTAGTAGTAGTAGTAGTAGTAGTAGTAGTAGTAGTAGTAGTAGTAGTAGTAGTAGTAGTAGTCCGACTTCAGCGTAAGTGCCAGACTGCCACGAAGCCAACCGCCCAGGGCGCCAAAGGCGCCGAGGAGGAGGAGGAGGAGGAGGAGGAGGAGCGAGCAGGAGAGGAGGGGAGAGGAGGAGGAGGGGGCGGAGGAGGAGGGGAGGGAGGAGGAGGAGGCAGGAGGAGGAGGAGGAGGAGCAGGGAGGAGGAGCCAGACTGCCCCGGAGCCAACCGCCCAGGGCGCCCAGGCGAGTCCCGATTTGGGAAAGCCGGCCGCCCTCCCCCCGTGGAGCTGCCGGGAGCTCCGAGGGCAGAGGTGCGCGGCGCGCAGGCGAGAGCACCATGCCGATAGCGAGGCGCCCTCAGGGGGCCACTTGCGAACCCGACCCCTCCTTCTCCTCCTCCTCCTCCTCCTCCTCCCTCTCCTCCTCCTCCTCCTCCTCGTCCTCCTCCTCCCTCCCCCCTCCTCCCCTCATCCTTCTCCTCCCTCTCCTTCCTCCCCTCCCCCTCCATCCTCCTCCTCCTCCCTCCTCCTCCTCCTCTCTTCCTCCTCCTCCTCGAAGGCCTCCCCTCCTCCTCCTCCTCCTCCTCGAAGGCCCCCCCCCTCCCCCTCCCCCTCCTCCTCGAAAGCCTCCTCCTCCTCCTCCTCCTCCTCCTCGAAAGCCTCCCCCCCCTCCTCGAAGGCCGCTGCAGCTGCTGGATCACTTTCGGAAGCTGGGCGAATGCTGGCCTATCCGTGGCTGCTAACACGGTGTCCCCGGAAGAACGAACACACAAAGACCCGGAGTCGAGCTCGGCGCACTAATTCGTAAACGGGCTGCTTCCCGAAGGAACACACAATTTCCCGGAGCTCCGTTTTAGCAGCCACAGGTTTGCCAGCCGTCGCTCGGCTTCTGACAACGATTCGCCCTACACCCTCGCAGCTATTGGATCACATACAGAGACAAGCTGCGGGCAAGACTTGTGTCCGTATCCACGGCAGCTTGAAGTTTCGGGCGCCCTTCTCCAGAGCCCCGCGGCGCACTGGACATGGATGGAAAATTATGGGCCCTGTAGAGGCTCGATGTTTGTCCATATCCCGTGCGGTTCGGCCGTGCGATGCCCCTTCCAAGGAAGTCCAAGACGCACGAGTACTGCCCGCACAACTGTGCGCGGCGCTAAGGCGAGAGCCTCATTTCGAATATCCTCCGCTCTCCGGTGGTGGAAGCGCTGGACTTCCCCGAACTCCGCATCGGAAGCCGTGAGGTCGTCGCAAGGGGGAGGCCTGGCTCGACCTGGCGACGCGTCTGGTAGTGTTGGCATACTCGCTGGGCAGACGGTGCACCGCGCCTCGCAGATGGGACGCAGCAGAAGGAGGAGGAGGAGGAGGAGGAGGAGGAGGAGGAGGAGGGGGAGAGGAGGAGGAGGAGGTGGAAGAGGAGAAGAGGAGGAGGAGGAGAGAGGAGAGGAGAAGAAGAAGAAGAAGGGAGGAGGAGGAGGAGGAGGAGGAGGAGAGAGAAGAAGAAAAAGAAGAGAAGAAGAAGAAGGGGAGGAGAAGGAGGGAGGAGGGAGGAGGAGGAGGAGGAGGAGGAGGGGAGGAGGAGGGGGAGGAGGCGGAGAGGAGGAGGAGGAGGAGGAGGAGCAGGAAGAGGAGGAGGAGGAGGAGGAAGAGGAGGAGGAGAAGGAGGAGGAGGAGGAGGAGAAGGAGGAGGAGGAGGAGGAGCGGCTGAGGAGGACGCTCGGGCCGGGGCGAGCGCACGGAGGACCGCTCGCACGCCATACCCTGGCAGCCGCGGGAGGCCAGGTCAGGCTGCCGTCTGCTGCCGGGGGGGGGGGCACCTTGGCAGGCGAGGCCTGCAAAACGGGCGCCTCGCCTCGCCTCGGGCCGCGGCGGCTCCACGCGGCGAGGGAAGGATGGCAAGAGCTTCGCCCCGTGGAGCAGGAGGGGCACGATGGACGGCTCGGCCGTCTCCTCTGCCCTGCGCCCCTCCAGCGCGGCCGCCACGCGTCGCGCCCCTGCGGGGCGGAACCCGCCGCGGCGGTCGCCTCCTCGCGCACCTGCGGGGCGGACGTTGCCCCCTGGCTGGCGTGCTGCCCGTCTGACTGGACTGCCTCTGAGCCACGCCGCTCGGCCGATCTCCTTCGGCGGCCCTGGGAGCTCACCGAACGTGCAGCACGTGGGGCGCGCATGCCGCTTGCCGGCCTGGCCGTGCTGCTCTCATCGCTTCCTGCCACCAGCCTGCCATGTCCCCCATGGCTCTCTCAATCACGCCCTTGGCTGCCCAAGCCGCCTCCTGCTGCGGATCAGCGTGACTGTCGCCTTGATGGCCCAGCGACTGCAACGTGCCACCGTGCACCGCAACTCCATGAGATCTGGGTTTCCGCATTCCCCTGGTCGATGCCCTCGGCCTTAATGGTGTGCTGCATGGTCTATTGGTCCGTGATGATAGGGTTCTCTGTCTGCTCTTCGTCCGTATCATCTGCTCTGCTATCGTCTGAGATTCCTTGTCATCTCGCTTCTGCGGCTGTGGTTGGCATTGGCCCCCTTGCCTGACTGGGCTGGCTGTTGCGGAGCATTCGGTCTCGCCGCCCGTGAAGGCTGCCTCGCGGAGATGCGCCACCTGCACCCAGACATCCTGTGGGAGCCTGGCCATGCTGTCCACCAGCCTCCTTCTGGCTCTGCCCGTTCTGCGCCATGCCGGCTCGCAGATGTCTCGAACTCGCACTCTCCATCTGGCGGGCTGCGTGAAGTCTGGCATGACCGCTGTGAGCCTGACGCTGAGGAGGATCTCCACGACGGGATGCACTGATCGAGGCAGTCCGCCCAATCCATTCGGATACGGCCGTCCACTGTGAACCTCCCCTGCCCTGCGAGGCCCTCCAAGTGGTTCTCCATTTCTCTTCGGGCATTGCGTCCTGCTGCGATCACGTGCTACCAGTCCTGATGGGAATCTGCCGGAGACAGAGGGGGGAGAAGGAAGGAGGAGGAGGAGGAGGAAGGCGACGAAGAGGAAGAAGGGAAGAAGGAACGATGGCGGCAAAGAGAAAACCAACAAGGAAGCACAACAAGTGGCGCTCACCTGTAAAGCACAGCCGCCCCAAACGTGATCGGCTCCTCGGACCTGGGCACGCGCGCCCGCCACCCAAACAATCGCGCGCGACCCCAGCCCTTCTCCACGACCGACACCAACAACCGATGCCGCTGATCCTCCATCGTCCCCCTCCTCGTCCCCCTCCTCGTCCCTCTCCTCGTCCCCCTCCTCCATCACCCCCCTCCTCCAATAACCGATGCCGCCTCCTCGCCCCCTCTCCTCCCTCGGCTCTCCGTCTCCGCCCCCCCACCCTCAGAGCCCCGCAACCGGGGACATGAATCAATCACGACCCTGGCGCACCCCAGTCAAGTGCGCACGGAAGGTCGAGACATTCTCCGGTCCTCGCTGTCCAGGGCCAAGCGGAGACTTCGCGCGGCGGGCTCGTGTGGTGACGACCCCGGCGTTGGCTCCTGGCACCGCGGGGATCGTTCAGCCTTGAGTGATCGGCCGCTCCCCGAACGTCGGATCGTTCAGCCTCCCACGCCTCCGATCTGGACGCCCGAAATATGGGCACGGAAACAACGGGCACAGTGCCCAACAGCAACCGTTGGCCCGAACCAACAGCGGCCGCTGTTGGGCAGGCGGCCTTCTGTCTCACATGGACACGGGCCGTGGCGGCGCGGACAGCGAGTCCTGTTCAAAATGAACAGGAACTGCTGTTGGGCATCGTACCCGTCCTTTCCGTGCCCATCTCGTTCGTGCAGAAAGAGGCCCTTCTCTGCCCTCTTGGGGCCCTCTTCAGGCCGGCCTGTGCCGTCTGATTACCTTTAAGGAGGTCCTCTTGGGGATCCGTTCGGGACCCGTGGGCGACCAAGACGCGCTCGGAAGCGTCCCCGACGCCATCTCCAAGAGAGAATCGGGAGGAGCCCAGAATAAGTCAAACACTTCATGTGCTACATCGTTTTAGCTGTCTCGTTCGTTCAGACCCGAGGCGCCGCGGGCAATCGGCGCGGAGCGCCGGCGGCGGGGTCGCCACCCGTCGACACGGCGCCAGCCTGCCGTGAAAACGTGCCGCTTCGAGGGCCCCCCGCAGGCGCCTCGGAGCCGCGCGGGGCCCCGCGGCCCCGGGGCGGCGCCTCGAGGCGCCGCCGCGGGGGAGCCAGGCGCAGGCCCCGGAGATCTGCGGCGGAGCTCCGCGCGTGTGTATGCTTCTCCCAGAGATCCAACGCAATGAAAAAAGCAAGACGGAGGTTTTGTCGCGAATTTCGGCCCCCAGGGGCCCTCGCCGGGCCTCGGGGCCGTCAAAAAACGACGCGGGATGAAGAACCGGTGCTGGGGAATGGGTCGAGACTTCCGGGGACCCCGTCTTGAAAAAATCACGACGTCGGATCTCTGGGTTTGGCCGTCGACGACTGCTCGCGACGTCCTGCCGCTGGGTCGGGCGCGCAGCGAGTCCTGGTGCGCAGAGTGGCCTGACCTGCGGGCTCCTGGCGCCTCGTCCTCCCGGCCGCTCCGGAGCTCGAAGGCGAGCGAGCTCGGCGCCCCACTCGGCCAATGACGCGCAAGAGGGGCCTGCTCTGGTGCGCGGCGATGCAGCAGCGGCGGCCCGTGTGCTTCGCTGTGGGCTCCCCGCGCACGCCCCCGAGCGCCGCGCACCGAAGGCCACTCCGGCGAAGGGCCTCGGGGATCTGCTGACCCGGGTCAATCCGGACCCGGGTCAGTGAGGCCTTGCAAGATCCTGCAAAATCCTGCAGGATCCTGCACCCAAACCCGGGTCAACGCGAAGGATCCGGCAAGATCCTGCAGGATCCTGCACCCAAATCCTGGTCTTTGCGACCCTGGCCCCTGCAGGATCCTGCGAGATCCGGCGCTCTGGCAGGAGAGCGCAGAATCGAATCGATAAGTCGGATCGGCGATCGACATGAATCGGATCGGCGGAAATCGGCAGCCGAGTCGGAAAAAGTCGAATCGGCGGAAATCGGAAGGCTAGGAGGCCTTCAATAAGAAATCGGAACCTAAATCAGAATCCCAAGTCGAATCGAATCGGAATCGGAAGCCATCGAAATCGAATCGAATCGAATCGGAGGTGTCGAAACGAGCCCTGCTCTGGCCGACCCCCGTTTGCATTGACCCCCGTCTCAAGGCTCCCGAGGGCCACTCTTATACAGGTAGCCGGCCCACGGCAGCTGCCAGGGGCTGCGCCCCTCAGCCCAGCCGCTCCCGCGCACCCGCCCCGCGGCCTCGCTGCATGAGAGGTGCCCCCGCGCCCTGCTCCCGCCTCCGCGGCCGCCTCCTCGCCCTCCCCCTCGCTCCTGTCGGGGAGACGTAGGGCTCGGGAACGGGGGGCTCGGGTTGGCCTGACGGGGCCATGGTAAAAGTGGCGAGACCCAATCTGAGATGTGAGGCGACCTCCCGCTGCAGACGCCCCACGAAAACAGGGCCGTCAGACCCCAGAGGACGCGCTCGCCAAAACATGCCCGCCAACCCGACTTCTGGCTCACTCGAGTCTTACGCTTCCCCGATCCTGCAGGCGGGCCAACTCGCGATGCCGTGCCCCGGTCTCGCTCCGACGCGCGTGCGGCTCGCCTCTGCCGCGCCGGTGCCGTAAAAAAAGCGGATATACACACACACACACACACATATATATATATATATATATATATATATAGATCAGAGGTTGGGGGGTGAGATCGCAGTGAAATGTTAAACGAAAACCCCCCACCGGGAAATCGGTTTCGGTTTCGCGTGCGGGCGAGGCGAAGCTGCGCGCGATCCTCCTGTAGTAGGCCGAAGTGGGAGCGAAAGTCCGTTTCCCGTCCGCTGGTGGCTGGGAGGTGCCCCGCTTGGGCCAGGCGGTGTCCCGGGTGTCCCGGGTGTCAGTAAGAGTGAAAGTCCGTTTCCCGTCCGCCGGTGGCCGGGGGGTGTCCCAGTTGGGCCAGGCGGCGTCCTGGGTGTCCCGGGTGTCCCGAGCGTCCTGGCGCGAACGCATGTCGCTAATCTCACAATTCATGTTATCCGGCGCCTGCGGCGGGCTTTCTTATCCGATCCAGTTTATCATATCCAATCCATCTTGTCCAATCTAATCCGTCTTATCTTATCCAGCCCATACTGTTTCATCTTATATTATCCCACCCAATCCAAACCACCCAACCCAATCCATCAATTCATGTGTTTCTGCGCCTGCGGCGGGGCAATCCGACCCATCTTATCTTATCCAATCCATCTCTTCCAATCCAACCATCTTACCCCGTCCATTCCATCTTATCCCATCCAATCCAATCCACCCCACCCAATCCATCAATTCATGTTTGTCGGCGCCTGCGGCGGGCTTCCTTATCCAATCCAGCTTATCTTATCCAATCCAATACATGTTATGATAACCCATCTTGCCCCATCGTATCTTATCCCACCCAATCCAACCCATCCAACCCAATCCATCAATTCATTTGTTTCTGCGCCGGCGGCGGGCCAATCCAATCCATCTTATCTTATCCAATCCATCTCTCTTCCAATCCAACCAACATTATCCTATCCTATCCATACTATCCCATCCCATCCAACCCACCCAACCCAATCCATTAATTCATTTTTGTCGGCGCCTGGGCGCGATCGCGGCAGACTGCGAGGCTCGAGCGTTCAGCGCCCTTGCCTTTCTGAAGCCGCCCCATGGCGTCCCTCCGTCCGCCTGCCATGGCGCCTCCGTCTATCCAATACATCTTGTGATTGTCCTGATGGCTGTCTGGTGGTTGTGCCGATAGTTGTCCGACAACAAATCGTTTTTCGGCGCCTGCGGCGGGCTTTCTCATTTTGTTTTTGAGGTCGATAGTGAGATCGACAGTGAGATTCACCGATAGATCGGTCGACGGATAGGTAGATAGGGATCTCATCGGCATCGCGATCATCATTGTGGTGGAGGGAGACTCGGATAGAGAGGGAGAAAGAGAGAGAGAGAGGGCGAGAGAGAGAGAGAGAGACACAGAGAGAGAGACAGAGACAAAGAGAAAAAGAGAGAGAGAGAGATGAGATCAAGGTGACAGGCTGGAGGTCAGTCAGGGTGGGCATTTGATCTCAATCCCCCCCCAACCTCCTTATCGCCCGCAGGGCGGTCGTATAGGTATACATACATATTCCTCTTCCTATATTATTATAAGCCCGGGCGAGGGGACCCCCCCAAAAAAAAACGGATTCCCAGGATCTGGGGCTTTGGGGCCCCTCCGAACGGGCCTCGAAGCGGCCCTCTGAGCCTCGCAGGGCGTTTTGCCAAGCCTTCGCAGCACACCTGGGGCGATCAGCGGGGTCATCGGAGACGTCTTAGAGACCCCCATGACAGCACAAGAGCGTTTCAAGAGTGACCGACGTGACCTCAAGATGGCCCAAGAGGCCTCCAGGACGGCCCCAAAGGCCTCAAAAAGCTTCCAAGAGCACTCCCAAGAAGGTCCCAAGAGGCAAACATCATTGATTTTCTTTGGGTGTTTGGTGAAGTTTGGGGTTCTCCTCTTTTCGGCTTCCCGACGCTCCAATACGGCAGTCTTCTGGGTGTCCGAAGCCGCCTGGGAGGTTCCAAAATCGCCCCACAACCATCCGAAAGGGCTTCCAGGCAGTCCAAAAGAGCCTCAAAATGGCACAACAGGGGTCAAAGATGGCCCTGAGAGAGCCCTATGGCGGCCTAAGACGGCCCCAAGACACCCTCCGAAGCATTCCAGATCGTGACCCGGTCGTTCAGGGAGACCGCGGTTGGAGGCAGGGTGGCCCGAGGAAACTCCCAGAACCTCCAGAACACGCCCAAGAGGCCTCCAGAAGGCCTTAAGAAGGCCTGAAACTTTTGCGATGCCCCCAGAGGCTCTCCAAGGAGGAGCCTCCGCAAAAAGAGATGAAGAGGATGGGGAAAATGCGCAGGGTATGGCGAGAAAAAGAAAAAACACGGAGGAAGGATAACGAATAACACAATTTTAGCAGCGATGCTGGAAAAGGCAACAAGGAGTTATCGCTAAATTGTCGACTCGACCTTCCTGCCATTCCGCCTGCATACCAAACTTCATGGACAAAGGCGCATGGCGCGAAGCACCACTGCAGTCTTGGATATTTGTATA